GACCAGGACATGTCATTCAAATCCCAGGTTTCACAAGTTTGTAGGATTTCCTTTTTCCACCTTCGGAATATTGCTAAGATTAGAAGCATCCTTTCCAGAAGTGATGCTGAAAAACTAGTTCATGCATTTATTACATCTAGACTGGATTACTGTAATTCATTGCTCTCAGGAAGTCCACAGAATGTAGTTAAAAGTCTTCAGCTTGTCCAAAATGCTGCAGCTAGAGTTCTGATGAGAATTAAAAAGAGAGATCATATCTCTCCTGTCTTAGCTTCCCTACATTGGCTACCTGTTAAATTCAGAATAGATTTTAAGATCCTCCTTCTCACATATAAAGCTCTTAATAATCAAGCTCCATCATACATCAGTGATCTGATTGTTCCATACGTTCCTAACCGAGCACTTCGCTCTCAGACTGCAGGTCTACTGGTGGTACCCAGAATATCTCAAATTAGTATGGGAGGCAGATCTTTTAGTTATCAGGCTCCTCTCCTGTGGAACCAGCTCCCAGCTTTAGTCCGTGAGGCAGACACTATGTCTACTTTTAAGAATAGGCTTAAAACATTTTTATTTGATAGGGCCTATGGTTAAAATCTGATGTTAGCCTAAATCTGGACAAGTGGGGGAGTACAGGGAGGTGGAGTGTTCAGTCGGTAAAGACGGCTTTCCCTTGCCCTGACTCCAACATGGCTCCATCTAAATAGGATAGATTATCCAGAGTTATCTCTGTAGTTATGCTGCTATAGGCTTAGACTGCTGGAGGATACACTGACCACTTTTCACACTCTACTGCTTTCTTCTACAGTCTGCTCTTTAACTGTACTATTTTCTGCAATTTCAGCTGTTAACTTTATTTTCTCTGTAAGTGTTTTTCTCCCCAGAAGAAGCTACAACGACATTCTGCTGAGCTGTGGTGGCCTCATGGAGGGGGCCATCGACTAGCACACTGCTGCTAACCACTAAAACATTCTCCCTCTCCTGATAATGGCTTTTTGCTTTCCTTGACGTTGGATGTGCTAATACTAGTTTATCCGTTTAATTATAGATCCACTAGGATAAATACAATAAAGTTTATTGTACTCCAGCTGCAGCATTTTGGACAAGCTGAAGACTTTTAACTACATTCTGTGGACTTCCTGAGAGTAATGAATTACAGTAAACCAGTCTTGATGTAATAAATACATGAACTAGTTTTTCAGCATAACTCCTGGAAAGGATGCATCTAATCTTAGCAATATTCCAAATGTGAAAAAAGGAAATCCTACAAACCAGTTTAACGTGAGAGTCCTGGTCGAAGACACTAAGGTTCCTTACTTTGTTCTCTGAGACTAATTTAATGCTGTTCAGGTCAGATAATTGGCTAAACAATATCCTTTTCTGAAGTTCCGGTCCAAAAATGAGAACTTAAGTCTTGATTTAAAAGCAGAAAGTTTAGAGTTATCCAATTTTTTATGTAACAGGATGAAATTTGCAAAGAATCCTGTAGCCATCCGCCATGAACCACTGGAGATTGAGAAGACAGAGCACACACACACACACACACACACACACACACACACACACACACACACACACACACACACACACACAGGTGACTTTATGACCATGTGTTTTACATGTTTGAAACACTTTATTATGTACACATTTTGAGAAAAGGTTGCAAGAAACACATTTTCTTAGATTAACAATATTTATATAAAAACAGGCATTAAACAATAAATATGACTCACACACACACGAGTCATGTTTTTATCTGAATTTTGTTACGATAAAAACAGAATTCAATACCAAAAGACAATATTGAACAATAGAGGAAACATCAGCTTGAGGTAAACTCCAGAGGAAAAACATGGCAATGTGTTTATTTCCAGTCTACACTAAGCAGATCATTTAAAAACATTAATATAAAAATAATATGATTCTTATTTATATGCTGAAGGATTGTTGCTTTATTGTTCAGTGTTATTGATCACTGCAGCTGTGAGAGAAGAGCTCCACAATCATCCAGCCTGTCCAGCTCCTCCACCACCTCCACCAGCCGCTCCACCTTCTCTGATGGCAGCACCACCTCTGCGTTGCTTCTGAACTTCTTGCTCAGGCTCTCGTTTGTCAGCGGGTTGCGCCAGTGGCCGTAGAAGGTGTCACAGCGGCCATTCAGGATGTCTCCTCCATCTAGAGTCACCTGGACTTCTCCGTACATGCGGTTGAAATTGGCGGGGTTGTCCTCAGGATGCTCCATGCGAACACGGCTCAGCAGGAAGTGCAGCTCTGGGCGGCTCATGGCGGGCGGGCTGAAGGACTGCACTGTCACCTCACCGTCCAGCAGAGCGCTGCAGGCGTTAAACTGGAAGGAGTGGCGTGCCTCGTGCTCTGACTCGGGGAAAGGCCTGTTGATGTATTTAGACTGGGGGACTCTGAGCAGGATGTCCTGGACCTGATGTGGGGACACCTGTCCTAGACCATGTCCCACAAGGAGCTCATGGACCGCAGCTGCAGCATCAGCCACCCAGTGCATCCCCAGATGGGCAGGAAAACGCTTAAAAGCAATGTCCTGCTCCTCTAACAGGAACACATGTCCACCACCATCAGGTGACTCTAAAGGCTGAGGAACATAATCTTCATAAAAGGCGCTGAAGCCCGCCACTCCTGCAACAGCATCCAAGACCAGAGGACTGGCCTCTAGGCCTCTGGAGGCCAGCAGAGCAGCTTCAAGCCCCAAACGAGAGGCGTTGCCGATGTGAAGGGGCTTGGACTGAGTGGCAGCATTAGCCATCGGAGCTCCAGCTAGAGAAGCTGCTATAGCCAAGGCATGACTGCACTGAGACGGATCTAGAGACAAGAGACGAGAACAGGCTGCTGCACTTCCCATAGGACCCACCACAGTGGGAGGATGGAACCTGTTCACACACACACACACACACACACACACACACACACACACACACACACACACACACACACACACACACACACACACACACACACACACACACACACACACACACACACACACACACACACACACACACACAAACCCACACACACACACACACACACACACACACACACACACATACAGTTCAGTTAGGACATTTATTCTGTTGTAACTGAAACAATCACTGATCTGCATCACCACTTAAGAATGTTTCTATTGGTTGAATCTTTAGAACAAGATGAATTGATTTAACTCGTTTCAGGTCACCTGAGTTTCTAAAACACCCACCAGATGAAGGGGTTGGTTTGTGCTAATTCTGTTAACGTTAAACCAAGAGCCCCTGCTGTTCCTACAGTAAGCATCATTACACTGACATCACTAAAACGGCCTCTTACACCTCAGTGCTGAGATCAGCACAGTCAAACAAGGACGTCTTTAAACGAACGTGTTCATGAAGATCGTGCTAAAACCAGACTTTCTGGTTCAAGCTTGACTTGTGCTGTGAGGCACTGACCTCTTGGGAATGCTGCGTGCTTCATTAGAGAACCTCATCAGACGGCCCTGGATCTCAATGCCGACATTGAAGGCCAGTAAGAAGTCCAGACCGCTTGGTTTGCTGTTAGCCGGCATCATGTCACTGAGAGCAAACAAAGCTGGGAGAACAGCTCCTGAGGGATGAGTGGCTGGATGCCACGTGTCGTCAAAGTCCATGGAATGAGTCTGGAAGCAACCAGAGTTTGTGTCTCATCATACTGAAGCTGAAAGGAGTCAGAATAATAACTTTTTCTGTGAGGGTCATAACTAGATCAGAACCCAGCTATTTCTGTATCCTAACCCTGTGGTCTTTGGGAGCCACGCTGCACCAACAGCTGAGAAAAGCTGTTTATACAAAATGTTTCCACTGATGTTTATGTGGTTATTTATATATGGTTGTTTTCCACTTATGTTTCTCACCGCTACTCCATTAACGAAAGCTGCCAGTGTTGGGGAGAGTCTGATCCCTCTGCGTCCGTACACAGAGCTGATGTGATCCGGAGCATACATGTGCTAAGAACAAACACAGAAACAACCCTACATTCACTCATCTGTTCTGGACATTTTTGGGTTGGACCTGACTCAGACTTTCACTTTGCCTCACCTGGCAGAACTGAAGAGCCAGCTCAAACACATCTGTCCTGCTCCCTATCAGTCCGACCCCGATGCTGTCCAGCACCATCCTTTTGCTGCGATGGAGCACAACCGGAGACAAATGCTGAGGCTTTATTTCACTGATGAACTTCCCAAAACTGGCTGTGACCGTATCTTCTGGGGCTGGGTGCTTCTGGACTGCAGGAATGAAAAGATAAAAGTTGTTTAATAAAGGTTATTAATTAAGGTTATTATTATTATTTTTAATCAAAGTCAGCATATCTGTTTACCCTCCACTGCAGTGTTATGCAGTCTTCTGGCAGCCCGCACTGGTCTGATGGTTTTCTTTGGGACAAAACATAAATCAGAACAAAGCATTTCAGTTATTTTTCACATCTCAGGATGACTACAGGCTGATGAGTTCCTGCATTTACTTGTTCACGTCTTTAATCTAATGTTTGTGTTTGAAAGAGCCAGTGTAGAGTTGTAACAGGTGTTTCCCAGCATGAGTGTTCTCCTCAACAATTAGCAGGAGTTATTTTATAGTTCCCTGCCTTGGCCGCACTACAAACCTCTACTTTTAGATATTTGTATGACTTCTTTATTTGAAAAGGACTTAAAACCATCACTTTTAGAGTCTGAAAACTGACTAAAAGCATAAATATGTCTGTAATCTTACCTGTAGCGTGGAGAGCATGACTTCAAGTTTCTGTCACAATGATCTTGTTTCTTGTTTCTCTTGGATGCAGCAGCTGAGCAGTGAAGGATGCTGATGCTTTTGTGGCTGAAAATCCACCTGCCGTATATAGTCCAGGACTTACAATGACCGGAAACACCAAAGGAGCAGGAAGGGCAGGTTCCTTTTGCAATCCTGCATCACATCAGAATGAGGCTTTTCCACCCGGGTCATTATCTGTGGTGTAACGTTCACCATCATCAATAGCCTTGAGGGGGAGGAAGGAGAAAGAAGGAGGAAAAGCCACTTTTGTGTAAAGTGAAAGGCAGTGATGTCACCTGTAAGTATGCTGCTGTGTGACAGAGTGGGGAATTCTCAGTAACTCCTCCTTTACACAAACAGATCATATTTAAGGCAAACCTTCGTCCCTCCTTCAGCACAACTCAGCTTTCCATCAGTCTGAACAACTTCAACAGGTAAAACTTTGCTCTTTATTTAATTGCTAACAGGAGTAAATATTTTGTTTCTGCGTGTCACCCATCAAAGATCCTTAAACCTATAGCTAGATTATTATATACTCTGCTTTGTAGATTGAATCAGACCTAAATCTGCATAAAGGATGCTCCCTGACAAGAGTTTATTAATAAATATTAAAACTATTATTGCAATATCCTGTAGTTTTTCAACAACATGAAAATAACAGTAATGTTAGGGGCATTATTCTATTGATAAAATTGTTTTCTTTTAGAATAAATTCTTCCTCTTCAGAGAGCCTGTTAGAGGAGCGTCGTAATAAATGACTTTTACATTAGTTACATGACAAGAGTGGCTCAGCCTACTTATGACAGGCAAGGACCGTTTTATATTATATTATATTATATTATATTATATTATATTATATTGTATTATATTATATAATACAGTCATATTAAAATTCATATATAAATGTTGTTGTTGAGGATTACCATTTTAGACTTTTATCTTATGTTACCTGTACTGACTGTATTGTCTACAGAAACACCATGGCAGCCTCAAACGGTTTTCCTGCCAGTTTCTATGGAGAACCAGGAGTGTTAGGAATGTTATCCAATGGGATCAGTGCATTCCTTGTACTTCTACAGAACTTCAGCACAGCTCACACTGGCATTAAACCAGTTGGAGTGGAGAACATACTTGCAGGTAAAACTCTTGACATAAACACAAATATCTATTCATGTATAAACCTGTGAAGGTGGCTTACAGCAGTTTCTAACACTTCTTCCAGGTGTTCATCTCATCCTGATTGGTGGTTTGTGCCAGCTGGTGGCTGGACTGCTCTCCTTTAGAAAGTACGATCACCTGAGTGGCACTGCCTTCATCGGCTACGCTGCCCTTTGGGGTAGCTATGGGGCGACCAGAATCTACTATGGTGCTTTATTTAACAATCAGACTATACCATCAGTGTCAGAGCACATGTTCAATGGTTCAACCACCAACATGATGGTCAACACTTCTCTTCAAAACTCAACACAGTGCCACTTATGTGTGTCCATAGAAGAGTCAGCCATTGCTGGTCTGATCCCTTATATCCTTCTGTCCTTTATCCTGGCATTTTGCTCTGCCACGGTCAACTACATCATGCCTTTTGTTTTTGGAGCCATCACGGCCACTTTGATCTTTGAAGCAGCAGCTCTGGTGACAGGCCCTTGGGCTCTGGTGGTCTCTGGGGTTCTGGAGCTGCTCATTTTGATCTTTGCCATCTATGGTTCAGCTGCTCTACTCATCAAAGGGCTGACTCAACGTCTGGTTCTTAAAGGCTTTGGGACCCCCCTCTTTAATGTTCTCCTGCTAGGAACCACCAACTCAACAGGTGCTCAGAAACCTGGTCAAGAGAAGAAGAAGAACACAAAATATGCAGAGCCCATGGCCTTGGGATTCTTCTGTGACTCTATTGCTCCCTTCATCGTTGCCTTCTACAGCTTTGGGTACATGAAATCGTTTGGTTTAGGAATTGCATGGGTATCAATCATCTCAGTCGCCCAGCTGTTCTCCAGCTACTACGCTCATTTGCGCCAGGATAGCTACCACACTACAAAATTTGGGATTCATGCCATGTATTGGCTGATCAAGGCTTGGGATGAGTTTGTGGCATCTGCCCTGATTGTGGAGCACAGTCAAGTTGTTGCTGGTAGGGAAGCCATGGTGGGAGACTGGTTCTTTGTGGTGGCTGGCTTGGTGCTCTGTGTGGGAAGCCTGAACATGGACACTCTGGAGCTGATCCACAACTTGCTCTTTGTTCTGCTCACAGTCTCAACAATCCCCCAGATCCCCCTGCAGGGTTACTACATCTTCTTTGGTGTAGCCTGCTCTCTCTTCACTGCAGTCTCAGTCTACGGTACCTTCTCACGCCTCATAAACACCATCGCAGAGAAGTCTCTAATCCCTGTGGGACCACAGCCGGTCTCCTCCGAGCAGCTGAAGAGAGCTCTGATGTGTAGAAGATCTCAACAGGGAGAACAAAAAGAGCTGCCCAACAGTGACCAGGCCTCAGATGCTCTGTTTTATCTCACCAACGGGGTTTCAGCACTTTCAGCTCTTCATTCAGAAGTGTCAAGTGGGAACCCTTCATTCCTTCATCTGACTGTCCCCTGGGTCCTCATCTCTGGAGGCATCATTCAGACCTATGTCAGCAGGCTACAAGTCACCGGAGAGGGCCGGTTTGGATCAGTCATCTCATCCATCTACGTGGTTGTATGGGCAACTTGGACGTGGTTTCGATTTGCAGGTATGTCAGCATAAAGTATGAGCAAAATACATTTTTTCTGACTGATTTGAACAATATTCTCATCAGGAGTTATTGTTCTACAGGTTTTCAGCTTCAGCTCCCCGTCCTGGCAGCCTATGGATTCACAGCTGGAGGCGTTGCTTTACTGGTCATTAATGCCTTCCTCATGCTGATTGGTAAGGTCTAGTATCTGCTTTCAGCGCTGGAATTCAGTTTTTATTCATTCATAATTTTGTACTTTTGTTTCTTCTATTAGCTGCGTATAGGAACGTGGTTCTGTTGTTTCTAACAACAATCATGGAGGTTGTTCTTGTCTGCTTCCTTCTCTCCACCCTGCACAGACTTCCATACCAACTTGAAAGTGAGTTAAAACCGCCTGTTATAAACTTTATGTATTTACGATACTGACTCTCATCAGAACAAATAAAGTCTAACATCCAGAAACGATGTATTGCAGTTGCCATGCTTGCATTGGTATCCATCATTTGCTTTTATGGCACCTTGGCTTCACTGATGAACTGCATCTTCTCACAAAGAGTGATCCCAATGGGTCCTCCCATAATAAAGGTAATGACTGAAGTTTAGATTGGCCTACCTTTAAGAATCAGCATGAATAATTAATAAAAATGTGTGTGTGTGTTGTTTTAGGAAAAAGTGAAACAGGAAGCTTGTGACGAGCCGTCCTGTCCGGTGGCTAGCTCGCGTCTCACCAGCGGTCTGTTGAAGATAGCTCGACTTCTCGAGGACGGGGGTGTGTGTGGTATTCCCACAGATACTGTGTACGCTCTGGCTGCTTCCTGCAAGAATCCTCAGGCGATAGAAAAAATCTACAACATTAAAGTAAGAAGATAGAGGAGGCTTGTTTAACAGCAATATACATTTTCATGAAGTCACCATCTTGTTGAATTGGACCTTTTGCAGGACAGACCTGCAGAGAAGCCTATATGCATTTGCATCTCCAGTGTGGAACAGCTGGTTGCAGCCAGGCCTCCTTTCAGCCCTCTGCTGTGGGAGTTCATGAGGAATGTGTATCCTGGAGGCATCAGCTGCATTGTCAGCAAAGGAGACTGGCTTTACAGACTAGGTCAGCAGTGTAGAGTGTTTGAATGTTGAGTGGCAGAATTCTGTATCAGTATTCAGTTTTTACGTGAACTTTAACCTCATTTCTGTAGGAGTTGGACCTGCTTATGACCGTGTTGGTACCAGAGACAGCATCATGATCCGTGTCCCAGACCACACCGTGACCTGCCACCTATGTGACATCACTGGACCCCTGGCCATAACATCAGCCAATCCCAGTGGAGAATCAGACAGCACCCACCACAGCATGGTCATTAAGTAAGAGTCTCCTCAAAGAAGTTTAATGCAAACTAACAAACAACACATCTCTAACACTTTTAGCACCATACACTAATTACTGTTTCAAACTGCTTCTTTTGCTGCAGTCGACTGGGACACAAGATCCAAGGAGTACTTTGTGATGGTGACTCGAATGAAGTAGTTGCTTCAACTGTGGTCAACTGCCTGAGGATTGATGAAGGTAAGGGGCCATGATTTCTTCCTACTGGGGCTGTTTAAGGTCAAGTTTCTAACTGAAGCTCTTCTAACCTTCGTTCAGGAGTCATCACCATTGTGAGAGAAGGCTGTGTCCCTGCTATCAAAGTCCAACAGATCTTTGACAGACTGAAGAACTCCATGATTTGAGTGTCTCTTAGCGAAGACTGTCTACCTGGCTGATCACCTTCAAGTCAACTTGTCTAACCCAAGCTGTGCTTTGCTTTTCATACTGACAAACAGCAAAAGAGGGAAAAGAAAACTAAAGATGTGTGTTTATATGGATGTAACTTTTGTGTCTTAGTGGATGCATAGATAGATAGCTAATTCAAAAGTCATCTTAAACTGCATGAAGTCCACAATGTTTTGCATTATTTATATATTTATTGTTATATTTATTTTCAAAATATATCAACACAAACACTTTGAATGTGTAAATAAGTATTTATGTTTTTTTAATTTATAATGTTTGAACTCATTGTAAAACAGAATGTCTTTGTGTGGTTTCTGCATTGAAGTGCTCTCATGCATTAATTTATTTGTGCAATAAAACAACTAAAGTTTATTAAGGCTTGCATCTTTAAATAATTACTAAATGTTTTCTAGATGAATGCATTCTCTCCCTCAGTACATCTTTATTCAGATCTTCAGATAAAACAATAACAACAATGGTGTTTAAAAGCTTGACAGAAATAGATATATTTTTGAACAATTACTAATTAAGCACTTGACAGCATCTAGTTATTTGTCAGAGGTCATTAGCAGCTCAAGAACTCTGAAACAATTCAACCATCTAACTTTGTTATGAGCTCTTTAAATATGGGGATCCCTTGTTTAATCAATACATTTGCAGTGGTCTCTAGTAGTAATGAAGCCTTGTAAGTCGTACTCTGGGGAAACAGAGTTCAGGAACAGTTTCAGGAAGTAGAAATGAGCCACATCAGAGTTGAGGATTGGCCTGAAGTAGCTAATGCTAACGGTTAGCTTAGACTGTTGGATACCCTAAACCAACAACAGCATTCCCTGTCGTGAGTCAAGATTAACGAGTCCATGAATGCTACGTGAAATTATCTCTCTCTCTGTCTCTCTGTGTCTCTCTCTCTCTCTCTCTCTCTCTCTCTCTCTCTCTCTCTCTCTCTCTCTCTCTCTCTCTCTCTCTCTATATATATATATATATATATATATATATATAATCTTTTCTTTTCTTTCTTTGAATATATATATTCACTTCTTTTCCGGCACTCGCAGAGAACAGACGCTTCTCTTTTTGCTCCCTTATCTTTTTTCCCAAGGCTCTTTGTCCTGTCTACCCAAAGAGTGCTTCTCTGCACATCTTCTGAAAAAACCTTTTATTTATTTATTTATTTATTTTTTTTTTTTTTACCGTGTCCTGTCTGGCTGTGAAGCAAGCAGAATTGATGTCTGAATGCTGGTGACAAGCCTTACAGATTTACTCTCAGGTGGAGCATCAAAGCATTTGCTTTTAATGTCACGCCTGATACTTAAAACTTTATTGTTATTGTTGTTGAATGCTTTGTGATTCCGACCAGACACGGAGACAGAGGTGAAAGAGAGAGGAAAAGAAAAGGTGGGGAGAGAGAGAGGGGGGGGGGTTCCACAAAAACAAACCATAATGAACAAGAGTCTGCTTCCAGACCTGCAGAAAAAAGATTAAAAAAAACAAAGGGACACAAAAAAAAGGACACAACAACAATACAACAAGATCTACCTATCACTGCGTCAACTTGATTAAAAGAAAAAATATATATTTATATATAATCAACATTGCTTAACTGAAGAATCACGATAATAAATCACAACACATTAAGTGCCCACCATAGTCTTAAGACCTGTGTTTAACTTGCCCAAGCCCATACTTTTGAGAGCACCATGTGAGCACCTGTGTGTGTACACGCGCTGATTTATTTAAGGTTTTTCTATAGGAGCGCCCAACAGAGAGTGTGAGGGACCACAGATCTGCCCCCCAAAGATGCGCAGGAGACGGGGAGAGCTCCAAGTCCCAGAGATCCAGGCGCTGCACCAGAACACAGGAACCCCAAGGAGACTGGGAAGGCCCCCGCCCCCCTCGAGAGGCACAGAGGATCGCCCCGGGGGGCCACAACCAGCAGCCGGCAGAGTCCCCGGAGATATCAGCGGCAAGCCCACAGGCCCGCCCGCAGCCTCCCACCCCCTAGCCGGCCGAGCCCGGGACCCAGCGACCCGGGACCCAGGGGCGACCACCCCCGCCGGGGACCCAGCAGAGCCCAGGGACCCAGACCCCACCAGGCAGCCACCGGGATCTAACAGGCAGATGCCAAAATCTTAAACCCCCAGACCCGGTTGCCCCGAACACTCAGGCAGACCAAGGCACAAGCCCCCACACCAGGTGTGGCAGGGGGAGGGGGGACAGAGATCTATATCATCAAGAGAAGTTCCAGGAGAGGGGAGGACCCAAAGGCCCCACCTGACATATACAGTCATACACAAACACAGTCACACGCTCCCTCCCTCATGCTCACACATGCACATACAACCCAAGACTTACAAAAATGCACGCCGGACACCCACTCATGCTCCCCATACACACCCTATTCACTCTGGTCCCGGTACTGCTGCACATTGGGTACAACCATCACCGGTAACCAGAGTTTGACCCTTTCTGCTGGGGTGCTGATGAGCAGGCTCCCCCGCCCAACACTGAGCACAGCAACCCACCACCCCAGACCCCAACCAGACGGCCAGATCTCCCTCCTAGCCTCCAACCCCAGCAAGCCTAGCAACAACAGAGGTGGCTAAGACCCCTAGTCTCCCTCCGCCTGCTCCAATATAGTGTTTGTGTGATCATGAGGTGTATTCCATGGCTGTGGTGAGTGGGCAGTGCGGGCATCATCCAGCATATGCCAGCTGATGCCACCGCACCACCCCACTTACACCCTCAGCCATCAGTGTCTAAGTGCAGTTTAAAATTGGAAGTGGGCACCGGCACTCGGGAGGAGGCTGAAATATCCCCCTATCAAATGCTGTTGAATGTGCTCACTCCCAAGGCCCTAAGTGTGTGTTTGTGTGGAATGTCGTCAGTGGAAGTGTATAAGGTGCAAATAAAATTGGGGGGCAGGTTTCCACAGGAATGCGGAAATGGGGTCCATACCTACACTCCCTGACTTGCCCACCCCCCAAGGTCCTATGTGTATGTTTGTGTGATGATGTGAGGGAGCAGAAGGAGAGAAATATACGGGGATGGGGAGGAATGGCTGGTTGGGCTTAGCCCTCCAGGGAGCCAGCTCCCCTACTGGCCCCAATAGGCACCTCTGTTGTCAAACTGCCACCCAGGGCATGGAGACCCCAGCCCATCCTGCCAGGGCCCAAAGCAGCAGCATTACAGAGCCTCACGGAGTCCGAGGGCACCAACCCAGCCCCACCCCAGCAGAATATCTATGCCCACCCCTGCATTTGCACAACTTCCAGAATATATAAGACATGGGACATCCAGGTAAGGTTGGGTCCTCCCCCTCCTGGACCTCCCCCTCCCCTGTGATGGAACGGCAGAGGAGCCAAGGCCTACCTGAGGCCCCCGAACCCGGGCCAGGCACTGCTTGGTGTCCCTGCCTTCTTCCCGGCAGCATACATGTCAGGACCCGACACCCAAGG